GATTCATCTCAATACCCTAATCTGAAGAATTTTTTCCCCAATTTTGTTTGCCTTCCTCTTCTTCGCGGAAACCCCAACTTAAGGCGGCTTGGGAGTCTTGGAGCTCGCGCAAAAGGATTGCTAGGGGAGCAACTTTATTCTTCCCCATATATGTTTTCGGGTTCTCTTTGTTCTCCCTCTTTTCTCTGTTCGAGCTTGACGTTGCAGGAGATCCTCATCCTCTCTGTTCTGGTTCACCCAAATTTGATTTGCAGGCACTCCAAAATGTTTATCCCAAATCGCGATTTCGAAATACCCAAATCAAACCCTAACACTCAGAATTTTAATCTCACTGCCCACTGCCACGTTCTCAATTAATGGAAAATTGTCACTGCCACGTTACGCAAGTAAAAAGTCACGTTGCACACATCAGTCCTAGCTGGCAGCAGGATCGTTAAATATTTAACGCCGTGACCAAAAAGGATTAACTTGGACACTTTTTTCACAACGTGGGACCACATTGAACTTTTTGAAAAAGGTAGGACGAAAGTGAATATTTCCCTTAAAAAGAGGGACAAAAACAGGTATTAAGCCTATATTAAAAGAAAAGAAATGAAAAGATAGAAGAAAGACAAACAAGGGAGGAGGAAATAAATGAACTAGATTATCACATTTATCAACATATTTTTTTAGTTAATAATTATCAACAAAATTATAGTTTTGTCAATAAAACTTACCCACAAAGATTTTTGAACAAACTTTTTGTCGTTAATATATCGTTGATAACTTTGGTTATTTTGATTAATAATAAATTTTAAATATTACTGGTGAATTCTTACCGTTAGTAATATAAAAAAAAATTATAGTATTATTATTTTTGAATATTAAATTATAAAGTATTTGTTAATGATCATAAAAAAGTTAAATATTTTTTAAAAATATGTTTTGTTTTTAAATATCCTTTTATTATAATAAAATATTATAATTAAAAGATTATTTATTTTGAAATTAAATGATTTTGCCATAATTTTATTCACAAAGTGTGTTTAAATGATTATAAAAGTAAGAATTATATAAATTGTGCTTCATTTAAATTCCTAAGCTATATATATATAAAAACTTTTCAACATACTTAAACAAACTCTCTAATAAAGGGTCAATGATGAAAATATTCACTTTTAAACTTGTTTTTTAAACATTTGCTGTTAAAAATGTACTTTATTCCCATAAGCAATCACAACGTTCTATTATTAAGATAGTATCAATAAATTCATTTGATAAAATATATTCATGTACTATTCTTAGAAAAACACAACCTCGATAAAGTTAAAACTAAAAAAAAAGGGTTGATTGGAATACCTCAATTGCGTATGTTGGAATTTTTTTAAGAGAAAATAATGTGTTGGAATTGTTTTACAAAATATTATATTAGAAAACAGAGATGTTGATCATTGAATTGATTAAGACTGAAACCAAATTATGTCAGAGATTCAGAGAATCTGCCAAAGTCAATTTCGATCAATTATTTAGATACAAAATATTAACCTAATAATGTACACTACTTAGTCAAAATTACTTTCTCTTTGACTACTTTTTTTAATTTTTATTAGGCTATAATGAAAATGATGGGTGGACATTATTCTCTGTTAGCATGATAACAAAATCTGCTCATATACTTGGAAAAACAGATCAAATGGCTAATTTTAATAAAAAAAATAATTATATATAACTTTGATATTGATAGAGAGTATGATTATTATAATATTTATATATTGAATGTTAGTAATTTTTATTTACATATTTATTTAGAACGAAGTTTTCAAAATACAATTATTAGAAAAATATTAACAATAAAACAATTATTTAAAGTCTGATTTTATAATTTTATTATTTAGATTGAGAGAATTATAATTATTTAATGAAATTATTCAAGCTTAGTTTTACTTGTACTATAACTTATTTAGATTTTTTCAAATAATTTTTATTTGCATTAATAGTTTATGATGCGGTTTTATTTAGATTATATACTGATATAAAGATTACACTTGCATTTATATTTAAAAAAATATTTTAAAATAATTTTATTTATAATGTTAAAAAATCAAAAGTAATTATTGGTATCGGTGAAAGAAATCCATAAATATAAAATAATTTATAAATTTTAAATGGGTACCAAAAGATGACGTTTATATACTATTTAGCGCACATCTAAAATGATAAAAAGATAAAAGAATTTAAAATATAAATATAATGTAAATGAGAAATATTACATAACTAACGAGCATAGTTAGAGATAATGATGAGATGCAATTATATAAGTTGTTGTTGTTCAACCTTCTGAAGTCGCTTTCATGTCATTAGTGGATGATAACTATTTGGGTCGGTCTCACCAATTATTTGTCTCCAAACAATCCAAAAAAATGCAGTTTTCCTTCGCTGAAATTCCTCATGTTTTGGTTCCACCGAAGTTTGGGTGACACATAAATATATAACTTGCATTCTTTGTGGTTAGACATATTAAGGAAAAGCACCAATCATCTTTATTCTGTGATCATGAATAGGGTCAACAAAGTAACATAAGATTGGCTGCTTCTATCAAATATTGATGTTCTACCTAATGGATGGTAGACCGATCACCAGAAAGAAGTTGCATTAAGAAGGAAATGAGGACAGTATAGACATTATAAATTATAATGCTTTCATAGGCAACGACAACAAAAGAAGCACAAAGAATTCGTCGATGTTGGTGAGTATATAGACAAGTTGGAAGAAACTATAAGAATTCATTATTTTGTAGGCCAATCCCAGAAAATCCAACTCATCTGTACATAATATATGGTAGCTTTTTAACCAATACTGAAATTAAATATATGGGTCAAATCCTTTTGCATTGCTGGTTTCATTCATTAGCAGAAAAAAAAAAAACATACTATGCACTAATTACATGTTTTAGCTAAAGTTTCTTGGTGGTGTGGATTATCTCTATTCTTGATTCTTCTCAACTGCAGAATTAAATAATTTCACTTTTTTTAAAGTTTTCTACAATTTCTATTTTACAGCTGTTGGCATACCCCCTTATTTTGGAATTCATGATGGATAAATTGATTATTTGATGTCGTCTTGTGAATACAAAAGCTAGTATACTGGTTCTACTTTTTGACGTTGGGAGCAACATAAGAGATTTTGGCACAGAAGTTTGTCTCATTAGTCATTGGTGTTCAAAATATGTACGCGAATGTTCTGGAAAAACATTTAATATATGCAATTCTGCAAGGATCATACCAAGTATTGAAGCCTTTCACAGTTTCACTACCATGTCCATTATTTTTCTGTTATGTTATCTGAAATATGCTTCCCAGCTTTAGGCTTTTAAACATTATTTTTTTACTATATATTTTTGGATATGGTTAAACACTTTTTGCATGCTCAATCCGTCCATATTTTTTTTTATTTACGCTAAACAAGTTTCAATATTTGTATTTTCAAATATCCATGTTGCCGTGTTAGCGTAAAAGTACAGAAAACGAGATAAATGTAGTTATGATTAGACGATTAAACGTAAAAGCTGTGTAGACACAAGATAGAACAAACATGCGTCAAATTTTATACTCATTTTTTTTTTTTGGGTAAAGTGATCGATCACTAACGTTTTTAAGAATTACTTAACTGTGTTTTTAGAATAATGTTTTAAAGGAAAAAAAAAAGGGATAGCTTGTAAAAAATGTTTTAACAAAAATAAATAACATAGTTGACCAGGCATTTTAATGCTTCACAGAGGAGTTATTGGTGAACCTTTTCTTCTGCTGTGGTTGTCTGGCATGGAAACTGGGAACTCTTCGTCTTTTTACTCAATCCCTCACAACCCGGCATTTAGACCTCGGTATATACGTTTTTTCCACTAAACATTGCTTACACTTTTAAGTGATTCGAGATTTTACAATTTTTACAAAAAATTGACAGAATCTAGCTCCTAGTTTTTCTTCTCAAATTGTGGAAATATCGTGCATAATATCGTAAGCCATACTGGAGATAAAACCCAATAATTAAATTCCATTAGATTCTGAATCGCAAACTTAAAACCCAACTCGTGGATACAGCACTTCTTGGTCGTATCAAAAGAATAAAGAACTGCTGGTAAATAAAGGACCAAGATGCGTCTTTCGCTCTTTACTCTTCCATCCCAGGCGCTTATAGAAAGCCAAAGAAATTTGCCTATGCGTATTATGACAATTACTAAACTCACCACAACAGTATCCTGAAGTTCCAACAAAGGCGTCAGACAGCTATGCTAAAAATCTGTCAGTAGGGACAGTGTTTCAATGTATAGTAATTAGTTGCCATCATTATTCTTACCATAAGAAGGTCAATATATCATATCAGGCATCACGATCAACAGATCCAGAAGGATAGCTACAAACTTTGCTTGTCATAAAATCTATCACAGGTAAGTTTGAATGAGATCCAATCTATCTATTCCATCTTTCTGGAAAAATGAAAAAGACACATAATATAAGCAGTAATTTTAAGTTACCTAGAATCAATTTGTTTGAAGTGCAAACTATTTGGCAGTGAATTAATGGACCCTCCTAGATCTTCAATCAGAAAGAATTAAACCTTGGAGTAACTGGAAATCAAACAGAGCCTTATACTTTTCATTGAAATGTGGACGATGGCTTTATCTTTTCCAGAAACTTCTCCGCTTCAATGAAGCCAAGTGGTCCAAAAGATAAGTATTTTATTGATCGCCATCTGCTTAAAGCTCATGAAGTAGCAAGTTTAAGTATCCACATGCAGCATACACGACAAGCTTAAACACGCCGTAACCATAAAGATTAATAGGTACCTGGGCGTATATGGTAGCGCCAAACAATGCAGGTGTAGGTGGTTAACAGAGTTCAGTGGAGGCTGATGAAAGCCAAATCTGCCCAAAAAACGAGACATAAAGAATCACATTGTGATATTTGTTCAAGTACAACAATTAACTTCAGATCAAATCAACATACTGTTTTAAACAATTGCAGTAGCTCCCTGTATTCTATTACTATTTATATGGGCCTAAGATTCAATCCTTGTTCAAGAAGTTAACAGTTTGTTTATATTAAAGGTCGTCGATTAGTATATAAGCTTCTGTATGATTGAATAAGACAAACCCAACTTTTTAAGAATTTATTAGTAGCAAAACAAATCTCAATAGTTCAAAGCTAAAAATCTTGTTAAAACAAATCGTAGGGTGATTGACCCATTCGATGAAGGTAAAGTCAAATTAAACGATATGAACACTCAACCTAAATGACTGACCCTTTATTTTTGGACTCAAATTCTCTACATAGTTATCACACAAGACACCATTTCCCACAAACACAAAGTATTACCCCTCAAATGTTGATTCACCTACAAAAATATATCTACAACTCACCGGTTACCATGATTCATGCGCAAAGATAAAAAATCAGTATTTTATTGCAGCACAAAAAAGTGAAGCCACTTGGGTTGTGCCAGTAATTTTGACAAATATAAACATTTCTTCTTGATAAAAACTAACTGAATACAATTCGTGTTAAAAGGGTATAATCCAATCAGAATGCAAGCAATGATAGCCTTATAGAAATGAAATATTATAATCAAAGTGCAATTAGGGGGAGGACTTGCAAATAAAATCACCATCGTGGATCAATCTAATAACACATCAGAAAATAACAAACGCAACCAAATTCTTTGTAAATTGTAAACAACAAAATACCTGTACTGCTGGGACTGAGGCGCATCTCTTAGTAATAACGTTTTTCCCACCTCTAACATGTGATTCACTGAATAAAATAGCCAGTCATGAAATTCGAATATGAAAAATTGAACACATACATACATAAATTTAAAAATCTGAACTGGGCCCCAGGCATGAGTTTCTTTACCCAAAGAATGGTCATCAGGTTTTCTCTGAAGATCTTTAACAGTAGGAATGTGCGCCACAGGAACTACTAAGTAATGCCTAAAAGTTGTCAGGTTCAAAAATGTCACCACAATTAAATGTCAAAAAAAGATAAATATTTGAAAAATTAGTTAATCGTGAAATTGGCAAATCGAAATTGTTCTTTCCACTAATTAAGATTGGAAATTAAAATATGGACGCGTTATGTGTACCTGAAAGCGGAAGGATTAATGTCCTGAAATGCGACAACCTTATCGTCCTGTGATTTCAGATAACGAACTGAATCAGAAAGGAAACACAGACTAAAGATTGGAGAGAGAGAGAGAGAGAGAGAGAGAGAGAGAGAGAGAGAGAGAGAGCGAGAGAGAGAAAGAGTGAGAGACGAACGGAATGAAGAAGAGTATTGTCAGGGGTGGATTTGGCGGCAATTGCACAGAAAACACAGGACGGAGTAGCTCCCGCCATTAATTCGCCCTATCGCTGCTACTCTTGTCGAGTTGGGTGGAATATACGATTACCGGGTCTCACACTGTGCGTGTGTGTTACGATATTCATCTTTAATTAAACGTGATTTACTTTGTAAAGAAAATATTTTATATTAAATATAAAAGTCATTGTGAAACAAAGGTTAGCAAATATCAATTGAAGATAAACTTTTACATGTATTTGGAATCGGTTATTTGAAGGCTCTAAAATCGTCCGGATTTTTAAAACTAAAGAAATCGATCGCCAAGTTGATTTATACTAAAAATATAATCGCCTACAGTAAATTACATGTCAGTCGAGAGGCAGGGCGTTCCCCCTCTCTTTCTTTTTAAAATATATTTTAAGGTTAAATATTAAAATAAATAAAACGGAGATATTTTCACTTTTAACTTCAAAATTATCTAAGAATAAGAGACAGAGAAGGCTCCCACTTTTCCAAAATACTTTCTTTTAACCAGAAGGTTAAAAATGCTAAATTTTGAAAATATGTATAACTTAACTGTAGACGTTCACGGAAGAAGAGAACCAAATGGCAATTAAATCATGATATGTTACATTTTCCACACCCTAATTATACTACAGTGATAATACAACACCTAACAGCACAAAAACATGAAAACACGTCCAATTTATTAAATAAACTCAAGCTTAAAGTTAGCTTATTTGAAATTTCAAATACAAGTACACAAGTTAGCTTGTTTGATATTTCAAATACAAGTACACGTAAAAACTCGTTATTACTAATTTTGTTAAACATTGTCATTCTTTTAATTACAATAACTACAGCCAAACTTCATTTTTTTTATATTATTAGATAGGGTATTAAATCTTTAATTAATCGTAGTCAATTGGAAGTTGCATGAAACAGCCATCACAGATAATTAGCGCCTTGGCAGGAACAAGTGAACAAAATTGTTTCGGCGCTAAATTTTGTTCCCATATAAAGTGTATTATTACTATAATGACAACTTGATTGTATTATCATCACACAAACTCCTAATTTTGTTCCCATATGTCATTGCCATATAAAGTAGCCTTTGCACTGATAGAAGCTTTATGTGAATGGATAACGAATCAACAATAAAAGGATTATGACAAACCAACCAAAATTGGTATCCACCGGCAGCAGAGTTGTCCTTATTTCATACATTTTGGGGGTAGTAATTATGAGAAAAAGAAAAGATTTAAAAAATAATCGACGGTACCACTGGCCCAAAAATTGTAAAAGGTACCTCTTCTATTTCCATCTGACAGTGTAATATTCTAGACCTGAAACATGTAAAACAGGCAAAACTGCAAAAAGTTACAATGGAATATTGATGTGTTAATGATAACCCTTTATATCCTGTGGCTGCCCTTAGGGATTTGTAATTCTTCATAATCACCAACCCAAACCTGTTTCAAATTTTGAATTAGCCCTTGGATCAACCAGATGCGAAAGTTTTATAACAATTTTAAATCGTAACAAGCAACTTGTAATACCTTGAATTGATTGCCAGCATAAACGTACTCTACATACAACTCTTTAGGTCTTCCTGGACATGGATCACAAAAACCCATAATTCCTGATTTTTTCACACCTTCATGAAGCTGCATCAACAAATAGGACATTCATCATCTAATTAAAAAAGGAAACAGTCTCGATAAGTAAACCGTGCATTTATTGAAAAGACTTATTTTGGTGAAGCCACTATCTTCAACTGTGCGATATTAATTTATGAAAACTTCAGCTATGTAAGACTGTTCTCGAGTCACAGTATAATTGCACAATTTTTTTAATTTAAAAAAAAAAAGGGAAATTTCTTAATCAGTGATGGCTAAATCAATATTGAACATTAAACACATAAATCGGTTGCGTCTTTCAGCTTGTTTGTAAATTGAATTTATAGATTAAGTTTTGAATGAAGTTCTCCCTCGCTTGACCTTCCAACTAGGTTTCTGCAGCTTCCATTGACTAAGAGGGAAGGGTACACTGTTGATTAATCGTCTAAGATTCCAGAGTTATTTTAATACATATATAATTATAGCACTGTGTCCATTAGGTCAATTGAGAAGACAAAGGAATCAATGAGATGTAAAGGGCGATGATTAGTAAAGCGGGTGGTTAGTGTAGTTAGAGAGATTTCCTTGACGGTTTAAGAACCAGTTATCCTTGAACCCTGAGACTCTTTAATGTAAAACTCAAGGTTTAGATTTTCGGTTCTAATTATTAAAGAGAAACATATCACCCTATCACTTAATTTCTAGTACTGTTCGACCAAAGATGCATGCTGTATCTCATCCTTATCCCATATTTACTGCAAATTTATATTAATATGGATAAGTTGGCAGAGACAAAAATTTGTTAGACCTCGCAAGCTAACTATAATAATTTTGTCAGAACTTGCACCAAGAAAAGGAAGCATACCTTGAGTTGGCCAGAATCATTAACAAGAAAATTCAGAGGTATCGTAACATCAATGACATCAGAAGTTGATTCAAAACTTGTTTCACTTGATGACTTTAAGTTGCTCAAAACTATCTGATTTCCATATAGTGCTCTCGTAATAACCAGTCCACCTGTTTCTAATTGCCTGTTTCTTTTCCTATTAGCCACATTTTGTTGTAATTTCTGTGCTTTCTCTGCTGCAGCCCATGCTTCCTTAACCTGCATAGGGAGGAGATGATTAACGAAGATATTCAACAGACTTCATTAGAAATGTTGACATGTACCTCCAAAGACAATCTCATTCTATGAATTAAAACTTTACTACGTATGGACATTTTACATGAGGAAATGAGGAAGATTGTGAATATGATATTTGAAAATAACTACTGAGAACTACAAGAAAGCACATGGTTAAATAGAATCCTAACTCCACGGGTATTTTGGACTAGTGTGACATTTGGGTATGAACTATGAAATAAATGCAGAAAACGAGTTGGATCACACTTGGATATTAAACAGAACCACTATATTGGATCCCCAGTCACATGGCAAGCATGGGATAATAGAGAAATGCAGGGATTCTAGGCATCTTATGTTCAAGTTACAAGTATATCTTACATAACAATGTCAAAAGGATGATAATTGGATGATAATTGCAAGTTGCAACCATCTAGGAATCCACATCAAATTGTTAAAAATCATAAAGGATTCTCCATAATCAATGGTTAAACAAACTAATCTTCAGACATCACAATCGGCAGTTTCAAGTTCAACCCTTGGGTGCAGCATAGATTATTAGAGTGAGAGTGGGTTGAGGAGCCCTCATACAGACACACAAAAGTATCGTACATTGACAAGAATCGGATCTGGCAAGAGAACATGTGATCATTCTTATCACACGGTAAATAAATTATACAATGTTTGACATGAGGAGAGTAACAGTTGCAAGTAAGAAACAAAGATTTGCAGTAATAATAGAAGTCAATATCTGCTTTAGGCACATTGATCACCCGTACCTGAGCAGAACTTTCCTTCTCCTCCTCCAGAGCCTTCTGCTTACTCCTTCTAAGGTAATAAGGTTTAATAAGAAACTTCTGCAAACACAACACAAATATTACTACAAAAGATGAAGGAAATATCACCTAACTGTTCAATAAATCAAACAACTGTTACAATTATCTGAATGATAAATATTATTTCCATAGTTTTTCTGGTTAAAAAAACAAAAATTATTTTCATGTTACACCAATGATTTCAATAAATTAAATATGTACCACATTATTTATTTATTTAAAACGAGTTAAAACAGTCGACCTTGCGGAGCCATTAGTATTGTGCTAGCTATAAAGTGCGGACAAAGCTCTTCAATAGTGTGTCCCCATGTTTGGCATTGAGATGTGTATGGCACATGTAAAACACTCCTTTGAAGTGTCAAATTAAACAATTTTAATGAGGGCAGATATGGCTTGATCGTAACACTTTTTTAAGGACTAAATTTTTTTTTTTGGAAGTTGGAAAGTGAAAGTAGTTGCTCTTCATTTGTTCAGTGTTTGTGCTTTATTTCAAAATTAAAGAATTTATCTATTTTTTTACAATAGTTGTATTTAGTTATCTGTTTTTTGACACTTTCAGAATTTTTTTTTTCTATTAAAAGTATATACAATAATGATGTTCCCAATTCTCTTTCACCAAAAGAACAATGCCAAGAACCAGAAATCAAATTCTAGAGACTTTGAAAGTTTACTTCGATTTAGTCTATGGTCCTGATGTTTTTAATTCATGTTTGCTGTTTCATGCTCTGACTTTTTATGCAAGTATATTATTATTTTGTCCACCATGGCTTCCACCACAGTCCACCATCCCACCCACTATTTGTACACGGCGGTTTTTGGCTCACTGCCATGGCTACCATCCACTACTTGTGATAACACCTCACTACTACAACTAGCTCATATCCATTGATGAAGCTGATTTTGTACATTATTTTATTTATAGTTTTGTACATATGATGACCCTACACCATATAATGATGGCTTTATTTGAAATCATGGCAAAGGGGGAAATCCAAAGGAGTTAGAAATCATGGCACAGGGGGAAATCCAAAGGAGTTAGAATTATTCAGATTGAGAGGAAAGCATATCACCACCACGAATTTTTTTCCTCTTCACTGGCATAATAAAAAAAATTGTGTGCAGATATTTATGGTTAAAGGTGAGGAGTCTTCATAAAAATAAAATGGCAGGGAAGCACTTTGATAGATGTAAAGTTAGATAGAATTCACCTTTAGACAAAAGTAAAGAGATGCAGGAATGAAAAATGCTCCAGTAGCAAACACAGGGTTAAGATGCCTTGTCAGCAAAATCTGCAAGTAAAAAAGCCCATATATTACAAAGAAGTCAAACAAACTATTTTAAATTGCAATGATACTTGTTTTTAACAAAAGATATATTATCTAAAGTTACTGAAGAAGAACATGTTGCTCAGGTCAATCGCAAACCAAGGATTAGAGGCATTTAAAATCTAAATAAAACAAAAGTCCAGCTCAAAGCCATGTAATACGACCAATATAAAAAATGCAAGACTTTTTAAAGACAAACTTATGTTAATAAAAAGGGTTGTGCATGTTACCCAAATGAACAAAGTATGTGAATGTTTGGTTCAGTTCGTCGCTTCATTTTAGAAGAATTATTGCATTTACTTGTCAGCTTTCTAAGATAACTTAAAAAATTAAGTGATTATTTCTCTAAAACCATCTGAAGCAATATTGCGCAAGCTTGTGACTTACTAAGTCTAAGAAGGTAAGTATAAACTACTTTATACAAAGTATATCTAAATATAGGTCAAAGTCTGAAATTTACTTCGTATATATATGTAAAGAACTAAGTGCTTACTGGAAGAATTATCTTCTGACCCCCACGATAGAGTTCAAATTTCCAGGAAATACCCTGAAAAGGTTAGAAAATAATATAAGCCACCTTATACAACAGATAATGACAAAGTGGGACAGAGGAGGATTCGCAAAACATTAAACTTCAAGTACAAGGAAAAATTACGAAGGAAAGTAAATTTTCGGAACAATCCATATATCCAAAAATAAATTTTAAGGTACTTGGGCATTCCAAAATAGCACCTGTACTTAATAGGTACAATTGTTACATAACCCAATACTAACTCAAATCAGTCCATGCATAATGCCCAATTTTAATTGGTTGGTTTATTACTAAATGAACTAAAGCCTGATTTCCTTCAAAATTTGTGCCATCTTTGAATTGTTCAAATTAGAACTTTTTAAAACATTATATTATATTCAAAGTGTTTACTTCACTGTTTACGTTTTTTTTTTTG